GCCCCAACGTGTACCATGAGAACGACACGATAGCCAAGTATGAGATCATGGATGGAGCACCAGTGAGAGGTAAGCCTCGTGGCCCCCCACCACGCCTTGTCTCCAGGCCCTGCACAAAACTGTGGAGTGGCGTGAGCGACTGTACTGTTAGTGAGATTTCCGTTAACCTGTAACTGCTTAAGCTCTAATTGTACACTTGGGTCTCCATAAGCAGGAAAGGAGGGCTGAGTCTGTGACGCTGCAGACTGCTACCCGCCTTCCCTCAGCGGAGCTCCGCTTCCACCTCCTCTACATCATGAGCTTGGACTGGAGATTGAATCTCAAGTTATCCCTGTTAAAAAAAAAAAAAAAGCTTGCAAATTGGTTAACAGACACAGTTTGAACATTTTGTAACTTTTGCCTGTTGACATTCTGACATTCTTTGCTGTTAAGGGGCAAGAGATTAATAGAGAATAGTCATTTATGTCACTTCGTTCTGCTCTGGTAACGATTAATTCTCTGCATTCATTCACCAAGTAGAAATACTCTGGCCAGCACTGCCAGAGGCTGCAGTCAGCACTGGGAACTGGACAGAAACTAGTCCTCCCGCCACCACCTCGGAGCGATGGGTCGGGTGGGGTTGAGAGCTGTGTTTGGGGAATCTGTGTGATTCTGGGAGAAGCCCTCACTGATGTTCTTCACTGGCTCTGCTGCAGCTGACGATGAAGAGTGTATTCTTTCACTTAGAAGTGCTTGGTGATGCCAAGGTCTAATCCAGGCAGAAGGAGGAGTGTCGTAGCTTAGCAGCCTGGAACACTGGGGACAATGACAGCTTCTCCTTGAGTAGCACCGTGCCAGGTCCTTGGGGAGGGAGGGCTGAGCTCTCCAGACTCTCTGCGTTCCAGTTTTCCACCAGCTGTGCAAGCAGAGCCAATTGTCCTTGTCCTTGTACAAATGAAACGGGGCAGAGAAACATACAAAACAGTGAATAACTGAAAGATCATTTATATTTAGCTTTACACTGCATTATAGGCTTGGCCTTTCTCAGTACAACAACTGCCCTAACTTTGTTCCACTTAGGCTAGGAAAGGCATGATGTTAGAGCTGGCGGGGATCTAAAATAGTCTGTAGTTTGTTTCCATAATTTTCCACATGAGAAAATAGGTCCAAGGAAAGCAACAGACTTACTGGTTAATGGAGAACTGGGACCAGAATGAGGATGTTGTTTCCCGGACACTATACCATCCGCCAGTCCATCATAGTGATGTATTTCGGGGGGCATGCCCTAATTAGGATGGAAGAAAGTGGCATCAAAATTGCTGGGTGATATGATGAGTTTGCTAGAGTTTGACAGTTGGCTCCTGAAAACCCAACAAGTAGACACATTCCATGTGATCAAAAGATGTTTGACAGTGGCTGTCCATCCCCACTGCCACTCATAGTCCCGTGTGGGGATAGTGGGAGGTCATTCAGAAGCACAGCTGGACTAGAAGGGAATTGCAGTCACCTTTTTGCTTCAGCACATCACTGGGCAGCAGAATGCAGCTTCCCAAAGGCAGAAGCAATGTCCTGCGTTCCATGCCATGCTCAGATGCCCAGTCTCCCTACGCTGGCCAGAGTGACTCGTGTAAGGTTGAGTGGCCACTCTGTCCCTCGCTCTGATTCCTGCCTGGCCCTTACAGGAGAGTCTATCCCGATCCGGCTCTTCCTGGCGGGCTACGAGCTCACCCCCACCATGCGGGACATCAACAAGAAGTTCTCCGTGCGCTACTATCTCAACCTGGTGCTGATAGACGAGGAGGAACGGCGCTACTTCAAACAGCAGGTGAAGCCTGGCACCTCCGCCCGACCCCTGGGGGCCTAGTGACAGAACAGGAGGGCGTCGTTCTGCAAAGAGCTGGCTCCCGTCTGGCAGGTTAAGCAGTAAGGCGCGAGTCTCCATGCCACTGTTCGCCACTGTTCGTGTGCCAGAGGTGGAAACGGGTCACCTAGAGCCCCATAGCGAGAAGGAGGGTTCCCACAGATACCTAGAGTCTGCTTCCTTGGCCCAACCCCACAACCACTCTGCCTTCCAGCCCAAAACATCCAGAGTTCCCTGGGACGGCGGTGGGACAGCTGCTATCTTTGCTGGGAGATAAGCAGACGAGGATTTTGCCTAAGATTCCCCGAGAGGAAGTTAGAGCCTCCGGGAAACCCAACCCCATGCCTTTCTCTCACGCCGTCGTGTTGCCCCTCCCCCAATTTTGCAGGAAGTGGTGTTGTGGCGGAAGGGTGACATCGTACGGAAGAGCATGTCCCACCAGGCAGCCATCGCCTCACAGCGCTTCGAGGGCACGACCTCCCTGGGTGAAGTGCGGACCCCCAGCCAGCTGTCTGACAACAACTGCAGGCAGTAGGCCCCCAGGGCCGAGGAGCTGCTGGGCTCCCACCCAGCACCCCATCTACCAGACACCAGCGGCTGGGGGAGGGGAGGATGGTGTGAGCTCAGCTGACCCGTTACTTGCAGCCTGAAAACAAATCATGTTTTTGACTTAAATTCTTTTTCTGAAGACCCTTGGGGGCTTGGGCCAGGAGGCACTGTCCTGGGGGTTCTGCAGCTGGTGGAGAGTGAGAGGTAGCATCCTGAAGCGAGTGTCCCTCTGGGGAAAGGGCCTCACGCACGGGGGCTGCCTCACGCCGCATGGGAAGACAGTGCCAGCATCCTCGGCCCCAGCCTCTGGCTCCTGATGCAGGCTCTGACCATGTCCCTGGGAGTCTGAGCTGCCAATGGGCCCTGGGTGGTCACCTCTTGTCCTCCCCTCGGGTCCCTGAGGGAGGGGCGGAGTTGGGCTGCCCCATCCCCAGTGGCCAGGGTGAGACTCGAGATTAGGAAGCTACCTCTTTGGGAGTCTTGGACGTGGTGCTTTGAAGTTTCCACAAGCCACCTCCGTTCTGGCCTTTCCCTCCCTGCCGGGACCCAGGCGCCTCCCTTCTCCATGTCCTATGGACTCTTGTCAGTAACATCCTGGGACAGAGCCTGTGGAGGGGCCTTTGGCCGACTGTCCCTTCACCCATGAAAAATCGTGGCTCAGAGACGCCCTGGGGTCAGTGTCATGTATGGATGGCAGCAGTGAACGCTGCATGGAGCTGTCTGCCTTCCATTCCCTCCCGTCAGCTCTAAGGGCTGTGTAGTTCTGGGGTATTGTTTTGTGTGCCCAGTCCACAAGCCTAAACAGGGACATGTTTCCTTTAAGAACAGATCCCAGGAAGGGGCCTTGATCCCTTGCTTCCCTAAGAGTGGATCCTCTCACGCCTTGCTCTCCATTTAATTTGAGCATTGGGGCTGGGTTTCAAACACTTGGACATTGTGTTCTTACTATTGCCCATGCCCCTTCACTCCCCACCTAACCCTCAGGAGGGCGATGAGGACTCAGCAGAGCCTGCCACAGCCTCAGAACTGCTTGCCAAATCACATCGTCTCCGCCAGGTGACTGGCCAGCGTTGAGGACCGTTGCCGTTTTTCTTTGAAAACACATTACAGACACTCTCTGTGGGTGTTCTTGTTCCACTAGAGGGGGTTCCCTCTGCTGTGCTGCACTTGGGCCAGTTGCAGTAACAGTGTTGACATCCTTTTCTGCTTCACCTGGAAATGACCAGGAATTACTCTGTTGGCCTCCCGCCCCTTCTTGGAAGACAAGTAGACCCCACTGGCCAATAAGGGCAATATTCGGGGGTCTCAGGTCTCTGTGATTTGGCAAGCAGAGGGGTTGTGTGTCATTTTCCAGTTAGTGTGGGATATAGGGATGACTCGTCTTCAAATTTTAGTACAATCGTGGGCTTTTGGGCAGGGCCCGAGGATCAGGACTGAGACTAGAAAGGCATTTGGGCTAACACTCGAGGTTGACTGGGGGCAGCAGCACCAAGGTGAGCTGGTTTTCCCAGGCTGGGCCCCGAGTTCAGGACAACGGACAATCCCTGTGGGGACAGTACCACTCGTCCAGCTGTCCCTGGATTTTCAAGGCTGGGACGAAAGTGCGTGGGGGAGGCGGGCTCTGTGCTCCTTGCCTTCCGCAGAACCTGAGACTGGGCTCTGGTGGGCCTCCCGGTAGATGGTGTTCTAGCTGGAAAGCACCTGACAATTCCTCTACGTCCCCACAGACAACACAGATCCATCCTCCGACTTTTGTAACATCTTAAATCTTTCTTCTGGGAGAACTAGAAGATAGAATTTGCTTTTATTCTCTCAGGACCTGTGCACAAGCTAGACCTTACATTTCCTCTTACTCTGCCCTCATTCCTCACTAATTTGCCCAACTGTGGGCGTGAGGGGAGGCTCCTGTCCCCGTTCCAGGTCTCCACACCTAGGAGTGCATAGGTACTAAACCAAGCAGTGCAACTTGTCATTAAGCAGCTGCGGTGTTTACATGTTTCTTAATGTATCGTCTTTTCAATGGCTGTATTTTAAAAAAAAAGAGCGCTTGTTTCAGTTGTCTCTCTGATTAAAGGCAGCCCTGTGCTCGGAGGCATCGTGCCCACGGTCCACCAGGTTCTGTGGTCTCTTCTGCCTTACGCTGTCTCACCTCACACACAAGGGAAGACAGGTTCCACGGTGCCAGCAAGACGCCTGCCCTCTCTGTGGCTCTGTGAATAGTGATGGGCGCTTTCCTAACACCTGTTCCAGACCAGCACGTGACTGAGAAAGGAAGCCCTGTTTACTTCTATCTCGCAACTTGTGCAACTGCTGGTTTAAACCCCTGTGAAGCCCAGGTGACTCCAGGGCTGGCGAGGAAGGCTAGTGTAAAACGACAAAGAGTTCACCGGCTGGTGGGGCTCAGAAGAGGCTTCCCATGCACCAAGAGGTTGCAGGTCCGATTCCCTGTCAGGGCACATGCCCGGGTTGCAGACTTGATCCCCAGTTGGGGGGGGAGGGGAGGCATGTAGGAGACAGCCAATCAATGTTTCTATCTCTCCCTCCCTCCCTCTCAAATCAATAAAAATATACAAAAAAATAAATTAAAAAGACAAAAGTTCATTTCAGTGGGTATTAACAGGCAGAGCCCCATACCCTTTTATTTGCTTGTGAAGGAAGATGACAGAGGTAGCCCTGCATTTGCCACGGGGTAAACAGCCAGCCTGCAGGTTAAAGACGTGCAGTTGAGTATCACACCACCCAGTGTTGCTGGAGAAGAAACACTTGCCAGCTCTGATATAGTGTTTTATTGAGAAAAGTACAGAAAACCCACCTATGGACACAACCTCAGATGAACCTAACAAGCAAGCCTCCGCACACCCTGTTGTCTTTGGAGTAACGTCTTGCCCATTCCAGCAAGTATCTCGGCTAACTTGGTTCCTTTTCCTCCAGGCTCAAAATAAAATCGAACTCCTCTACCAAAAAAGGGGAAAAAGAAAGGAAGAATTAGGTCTTGTGTCTCCTCTTGAATGGGGAAGCTAAGCTAAGCATCACTCATGTTCTTCAAAACCCACTTAGGGAGTGCGTTACTATGTGCCACGCACGCACTGCTGGGCACTGCGTACACAGTGACGGGCGACTCGGGACATACCTCCTCCCGCAGGGACAATACAGGTGAGGAGACAGATGCAGGGTAAGTACTGTGCCCAGGTCTGGGCAGTTAGCAAATGTGAGTTGCCAGCGCCACTCTGGCATGCGGGTGACCGAGGACGGGGCCCGTCTCACCTCGGGTCAGGGGCTGAACCGAGAGCCTCTGGAGAGTGAAGAGGGCCATGTGCTGTAAAGGCCCACCGGTGGCTTTGTGAGCTTGGTGATGGGTCCTGAGCTCAGCCAGGGGAATGAAACGCTTCATCATCCGAACGAACTGGACATCCACCTGCACGACAGGTGTGTGGGACAGAAGGACGTGCCGCTGGACTCTGTCCGCTGTGTTAGCTGCTTGCAGGTGTTCTGTTCTCCAAAGTCGGGGTAGCCCCGTCCGAGTCAGAGCTGAGCTGTCACCTGTCACAAACACACCTCCCCCAGCCTTCTTCCTCCCTCTCTGTCCATCCTTCCCCTCGTGAAGTAGGAAAAATCATCTTTACCATGGACCATTTGGGGTTGTCTTTTTTGCTGGATGGATCATAATGGGGGTTGCTTTTCTCAAACTGTGTGTGGTCTGGGTAAGCCTCCTTCACAATCTGAAACCAAAACCAAGTCTCCAATCACTTGCCTGTGTAGTCAGCTCCATGGCAATTCTTTCATTCAAGTCCAACTGTCACTTCTGGCCCTGCACATTCTTACCCCATCTGCCTTGCTTTAGAGCCAATGGGGGTTCAGATATCTATATATATATATGAAAGGCTAATATGCAAAGTGTCCCCTTTGGAGTTTGACTGGGAATTCGATCACTCGCTAGAGGGGGTGGCGCAGAACAAACAGAGGCCCTGGCCAGCAGCTGGAAGGCCCCGATAGGCCCTGATGGCCGACCAGGCCTAGGGACCCTACCCGTGCATGAATTTCGTGCACTGGGCCTCTAGTCTGGAAATAATACACGGTCTAAGGCAAACGGGATGTCAACCCCATCTTAACAAAAATCTTAAAAGTATATTCTAAAACCAAATATTAAAGGTTATTGTTGGTTAATAATTTTATCCTGATAACACCTGGCTCGGAAGAGCTACCATCAGGCTTGTTTTTGAGTGAAAAGACCAAGGTATAGCAATGGAGAGACGTCTGGGACCTGAGATGAAGGCCTGTCTTGTCGTAGTCCTGGTCACATGACAGGGCCAGGGCATTTCCTATATTCCTGTGAGGGCAGCGATGGGAGGAGGACACTTTTTTGGCTACCTATTGAAGCGTTCACCCTTTGAATCTATCTACCTGAGTAAGTGCTCCTGAAGGGGGAGGGATGCAGACCCAAGCCTGTACAACGCACCTTCACAAGTCCTGCGATGCCTGGCTCTTTGCAGTTACTGTGGTAGAAGAAGGCTTCTTGCCCCAGCTTCATGGCTCTCAGGAAGTTCCGGGCCTGCCCCAGGGAAGCAGAAACAAGAACTATGCTCCCCACCCACTGGAAAACGCTAGTGTTAGCAGAACTTGTCTGCTTTTATTAGGTGAGTTTTCCTTTACCGTGGTTTCCCCAAATTCAATTTTTTCTGAATCCTCCCCAGAGGGTATGCTTAGAGAGGGAGAGACAGAGAGAGACATCAATCGGTTGCCTCCTGTACACGCCCTGACTGGCGATCCTACCCACAACCTAGGTATGTGCCCCGACTGGGAATTGAATCCACCTGTTGGTGTGCGGGGCGACATTCCAACCAACTGAACCACCCAGTCTGTGCATCCCCCCAGTTCAGTTCTTGCCTTTGCCAAGATACCCAGACTTGTATCGGGACGCTGGCTAAAACACACACCATTTGTAAGGTGCATGCAATCTGAGTGATTATTTTTGAGGACATTCTTAGGTTTGGGTTCTGGGGAAAAGCAACCTTGGCTGAGATTTTGCTTCTGCATAAGGCCTAAGAAGGAGGCAGGCGTTCCTCCCACGCCAGGTCTCAGCTTACCTGATAGTTGCGAACACCATCCCAGCATGTCGTCTGCTTGGGCTGGGCTTGGAGATCCTCAATGCTGAACTAGGCGACAGGAAAGAAAGTCATTCGTTAAATAATCCTGGGCCCATTGGTAAGAATACAGGGAAGCTGACCACTCCCTTCCAAACATTGTGGGTGCTCCAGCTACAGTGGGAGTACGTGGTTTACCGGGAAATAGCTCTAGAGAGGCACCTGTATGGGGCGAATATTAAGTGAGCTTTGTGTTACTTAACTTTGCTAACTAAGAGGATTAAATGGATAATTCAGAGCATAAAGTAATCTGCTGGTTATTTGCATTGGACATATTAAAATGTTATCTATATCTGTTTCCTCTGGGCTATTTTTAAATTGCTTTACATTCATTCCCTGGATCAGTGTGAGATAATGCTTGACAGGTAGCAAGAGAAAGGCAATTGGGTTGGCAAACTACAGCCTTCAGGCCAAATCTATCCCTAAGCCCGGTTTTGTAAATAGTTTCACTGGAACACAGCCACACCATTTGTTTACCTTTCTGTCTATGCCACGTTCTTGCGACAGCAGAGTTGCAACAGCAGCTATAAGACCAGAGCGCTTAAGATATTTGCTGTCTGGCCCTTGACAGAAAAAGTTTGCCATCCCTGCCCTAGACACAGGATTCACAAAAAAGACAGTGGATGGTAGTAAGTCCTGCTGATTTTATTTCTTACCTGTTCCCTACCCTTCAAAAAGAAAAAGTTGGTAATGGAACCCTGTGGTGTCCCATGTTCATTTCTTATTTTTTTAAAAAAGCAAAACCAAATAGCTTGATGGGATTGGAGCCAGGGACATGGTCTCACCTTCACATCCACACCTTTCTCCAGGCGGCTTTCTGGCTCTGACTTCATCAGCCAGTAGCTGCTTGCATTGTTCCCACATTTTTTAAGGGCTGAAGTCTCCTGAGGGCTGGATTTCTCCACCGTAGTTGGTGCCTCACCAGGGTTCTTAGTCTTGGTACGCTTTCCTGCTGGTCCCTCCTTGTCTGCCAGAGGAGAAGCAAGATGAGAGCTGTTATGATTGCTGAGAGGTAAGCTTCCATTGTGGCGAAAGCATGGACTTTGGAGTCAGACCGGATTCAAATCCTGGATCTCTCAGTTAGCAGCAGTGGCAGCTCAACTACTGAACGTATTTCTTATCTACAATCATGGAAGAAGAATGCCAACCTCACAGGATATCTTTGGAACATCCATTCAATGGGGGTAAGAATACCTTCCATGGTTGTGGTTTAAAATGAAGGGTCCTAGCAGAGTACTTGGGCATACATTAATTAAGTCAGGGGTGGGGAACATCCGGCCTTTGGGCCACATAACGCCTGAGAAATCATTTAGTCTGGCCCTGCCAAGGCATTAGGGGTGAGTTAATTAAATGTTTGAACAAACATAGCAGGCTGATTTTCAAGTTGGTAATTTTGTATGGCCTGCGAATGATGTTCTAAATATCCAAATGGCCCTTGACAGAAAAAAGGTTCCCCACCCCTTGTAAATCAGTGTTTTTTCCTTCCCTTCCTCACTCTCTGTCTTTGCTGAAGCTATCCTCTCCAATGAGGAAAAGTAAGCCCCTACTCCATGGACTTGTTTTGAAAAATAATAGAAACAAGGGCCTTAGACAGTGCCTGGCATTATAATAAATATTAGCAATAATTATCATCATCTCATACTTCTTTCCTGCTCGATCAGTGTGCTTTTGTGGCCTGATCTTTTTTGCTCCTTGAGGGTGTCAACAGAAGTTGGAAGAAACAACTCATTCAGGACTTTGTAGACGTGATAAAGACTGGATTTCATCCTAAGAGAATTAGAGAAAATGTGCCTGGAACATAGTAGGCACTTAGTAGCTAGCAGTTGTGACATTCTTACTACATGACAGACCCTGAGCTCTGTTACCCTAATTGTAATTCAGTTAATCTATATATTCTATGGGATTTATGCATCTGGAAAATATAGCCCAGATTACATAACCAGTAATCACTCTGGGCTTTCTGAATCCACACTTTATGACACTCGATTCACAGCCTCTGAATCAAGTCAAAGCTCCTCCTATCAGTCATCACTAAATACCACTTATGGATATCTAATGCCCTGAGCATTCCTAGCCAGGTTCCTAGTGGTCCCTTTAAGGGGCACGCTAAACACTCATGTGTTGGTAAATAACACTGCCATTCCCCACAGAGGTATCTTCTCTACCTTGTTTTGTTCCTGCTATTCATCTACTCAGAATGCCACTTATCCTTGCGAATATAAAAAGGACACCTTGTTTTCTCTGCCTGTGGAAAGCCTTCCCATGCTTTAAGGTTAGTCTCAAATTCCACTTCCTTCTCAAGGACTTCCCGGTGATTCCTCCCTGCTCTCACACCTAGCGATACAGTTTCCTGGACCCTTTCACTTGTCTGCATTCTCCGAGAGCAGGAACTATGTTCTTTTTTTCTTTAAACTCTCACGGAGGTTATCTTTTCATTGATTTTTAGAGAGAGGAAGGGAGGGAGGGAAACATCCATGAGTTGCCTCCCACAGGCATTCCATCCCCACCACCCCCCTCACCTGTCATCC